AATATTGCATTATAATTTATAAAACAGGGCAACTTGTTACTACCATTTGCCGAATAAGGCAATGTTTTATTTATTTTCTATTAGTGTAACTTTGTAGTTGTAGATTCAACACTCACCGATCACCGCTTTTTCGTCTCTAATGTACTCAACTTCGCTTTAAAATTTGACAAACGTATTAACGCTGCTTCCGTCCTTCGAAAACAACGCAATTTTCCGGAAGTAGAACGTACCGTTCGTCATCTTTCGTATATCCGACGATTGCCGAAGATTATCCGACGATCGCACACAACACACACACACACACAGATCCGGACACTTTTTCGACTACATAGTGGTTGGCCGCGCATGCGCAGGCTACCCACAAAAATACGACATAATATATTGTGTTTACGTATCGAATTTAGTGCGGATGAATGTCGTGCTAGCTTCGCATATGTTCGATTTTGTTGTTCTGGGAGGAAGCGCGAATCCTGTGGTGAATCCTGTGGTAGCTTCACACTAGTGCTCAAATAAACAAGTCTTTCAAGGACTTAATTAAAAATTGCCAATTTGCAAGTTTAGGAAAGTATCCGATAAAGCTCCAGATAATGAAATTAAGCCCTGGTATGAACCCAGAAGTAGTTGAATAACAATATTCATGCAAGAAGACAAGCATATCTATGCAAACTCACTGCATGTCTTCAATTATTACACATAAGCTAAAGTCATTCATTCCTGAGCAATGTTCCCCTTTGATTATTGACCAGCTGTTCTTAACATATCATCCCAAACATGAAAATATTTATAAGATCACCTGGAGTATTTTTGTCCTTAAAAATTAAGTGCTGCAACACTGTGGGTCCAATTAACCATTGGCATAGGAAATTTTCCACTGAGTTTCGTGCTCACCACCTCAATCCATGTTTCTAATAAAACAAAAAAGCAAGCATATTTGAGTCTTTTGAGATATCAGAATTAAAATAACAAATGTTAAAAGAAACTAAGCAGTGCAATATGTGTAAAATATATCATTGGCATGCTATGCACAGTTTTGCATGCTCTTACAGATATGAAATTAGGGTAGTCATCTGGTAAGCTTTCAATGATTTTTCCTTTTATCTATCACATGATAAATAGGTATATAATCAATTGGTCAATAAGTATATAATTACCGGTAGCTATTATATAATATTAAAACTAAGCCATATGCTTAGGTGAATAATCTAACAGCATTGCACAATTCCTTATAATGCATTACTTACCACAGATATTACTTTCCAATGAGACCTCTTTCATTACAGGTTTAGACTTAAACATCACCACTTGTTAATCCACCATCTAAGGATGCATGTAAAAATTTTTTAAAAGGCAATATAACAGTTATTTCATCCTAATTCTTAATCAAAACTTTTGTATATCCAGTAACCAAGATTCAGTATATCATAATCCTAAGATTGAGTACAGATGTTTCCTTCATTATATATTAATAACTTGAATCCATGCTAAAATTTGACCACGGTTTTAATAGCCAACGTCAATATCACATTTCATATTGCATAGTGTTTATAGTATAACCACGATAATATATTTATATCAACGTCGTTCGTTTATCGGGAATGATGAGTATTAAAACTGTGAATATATCTGTTTATTGTTTATAAATATGTTTACTGTTTACGCGGCAAATTCAAAAATAGCTTTCGTCTGTTTGCACGTATAGACCTTATGTTGGGCCTGAAAACGTGTACTAAAATTTATGTTTCATTTCACCCCGCTGGGAACAGGAAAAATTTATCACGACTTACCTTTACTTTATGTGCTGAGTTCATTTCTGAAAAGTTCCCACTTCTACCGCCTGCAGTTTTTTTAAAAAATGCGTTTGAAGATTCTCTCATTTCAAACTCTTCTGTCAACATTTTCGCCATTTTGAATAATCTTAAGTCACATTAAAATTATTTTCCATGCTTCAGAATGCTGACTCACTCGACCCCAGTTTCCCTATTTTAACATTCGTAGCCTCCAGTATGGAAATTTGAAGTATGTAAATGTGAGAGGTGTTTCATTTTTTTTCCAATTTTTTTCCAAAACCTATTCCGGCGGACAATCTTTAAATCTTAGTGATATAAAAGAAAAAGGTTACTTCTAGTTTTCGTCGTTCTCGCTTGAGCTGCCGTCATCGTAACAGTCATCCGAATCGCTTTCCACATCATCACCATTAGTGCTTTTGTTTCGACACTCCGTGCACGAACATAAATCGCTGCATCTTAAGGAGGCCTTGACACACGAACATCTTCTATTCTCGCATCCTTTCTTGCATTTGCAGCTTACGAACTCTAGTATTGAATCAGGGGCGGCAGGTAATATCATCCAGTTAACGTAAACGTTGCCTTCTGCGTCAAGTTTCCACCCGTGGTTGAAGAAAGATGGCAAATTCAAAATTGCTTGCGTCGATTTGCGCCAGATAAAACACTGGTAGTTTGCTCTGTTTATGTGCTGGTCGAGTGAATCCTTATTGGGTGGTAACAATTCTTCATCAAACTTTCCACTTTTAAACATTTCATAACGTACACGATTAATATCTGAGTATCCTTGATATCCATATAAATGACATACGAAATGGTAAAGCTGAGTGAAGAGGTCTTCAGATGGATTTAACTCGGTGCCTAAGTTTGAGAAGGTGTGGGAGTATTCTTCTCTCGCTTTCGCAACTTTCAACACAGACACTTTTCCTTTGCCGTAAAAGGCGCTCGTTGTGTCACAACCTTAAAAAAGAGAAAATATAAATATATTAATGATAGAGAAATACGGTCTAGTGGCAAAATAATTTACGAACCAGTGAACGTGAACGCTGACCAATAAGAGAAGAGCACCACTCATGCCCAAGGGACTCTCTGACGTTACTCAGGGAAATTATCCGTCGTGCACTTCCAACGCCAGTTTCGAAGTATATGTTGGCATCAATTTCCAAGCATGCATTTAGTGCAATCACCAATACGTCTGTATCAGGACTCTTGATTATGATGTTTTTGCATGACTTGCGTGGACCAACATCCGAGTATCTGCTTCTTCGTGATCGCAGCATAGCTCATCGACTTCACAAGAAACCAATGCGTTGTTCGATTGAAAAAACTTATGGCACATTTCTTCGTGCGACAGAAATACTTCGATATCTTTGAAGAGATGAGGATCGGCCTTTGTCCATGATTGATAAATGAATTTCATCAACTGCTCTTTATTTTCGCCGCTCGACAAGAACTTTTTCCATTGGCGCGGAACTTTTTGATGTTCGCTGTAAATAGAAATTTTTTGAACACCATCGATTGCCCGTCGATTTCTTTCGAGGTTCTTGATGCTTTGGCGCGGATACCGGTCACAAACGAAGTCAGCACGCTTGCAGTGGCAGTTAACGGCAATCTTTACAACCTTTGTTAACAACTGAACCGTCAGTTCACCAAACGTATCTGGTATCGTCATCAAAGTTTGCAAGATGGCCATTGCGTCAAGAATACACGCGTTGTCGTCAATAGGAAGATCAGAAACGGAAGAGTTTTGAGCTTCTTCTTCAATTGCATGAACCAGTTTTGACTTTGATGTTTTCACAAGATCCCCTTCGCTGGTTGCAATGGAGCAAGGATATGGTCTTAAAGAATACGTGAAGACATCGTCCAACTGAAGATTTCGACTTTTTGCTATCAAGAGCAGCTTCGCAAACAACACCTTGGAGTTGTCCTTTGCTGTTCTTGCTCGTCACTTTCTTTCCCAAACATGAAAATGTCTTCAAATTAGTCTTCTTGATGGTTGAATATATGTTCGGCTTTTCTCCAATAATATTATTCTCAAAAAAACTAGTAAATGCTGTCTTTCCTTTGTCTACCATGTGCTTCATGTCATCCTCGATATCAGAAGACGCAACAACTCCACTTGCTATGTGCACCAAGCTTTCATGATCATTATCAAAAGGATTAACCATTGATTTAATAACGTCAATCACATCTCTAACTGCCTTCTCTTCACCTTCGATTCGAGATTTATCCAGGTCCTTTCTGCTCCTGTTAAAAAATACGTGATACATCAGCGAACAATTATACCCATGCAAATGTATTTTTTCTTAGAAAATTATTACTACCGATCAATTTCTGCTACGCTGGCCATAGTTTCACACTGCCTTGTTATCGCACTTCTTTCTGCCTGCCCCATCAACCAGCGGTGCACAGCGCCTTTATTCAATGTTATTCCAACTAACCCTCCTTTCAGTTTGGAGTCTCTATAAAAAGACAAGGTTGTCATAATTATCACCTCGTGCTATTGCCGGTCATGCTGCGAATTTTAACTTATTTTGAATGACTGTTTGGGAGGATAGACAAACCTGTTTAAAGTCTGCTCGATCGTTTGATCGCATGCTACACCGGAGAACGAATATCGATCTTGCCTTTGTACGGTCCAGTTATTTGAAATGTTGTGGGCAACGTCTAATTAATAAAAAATAAAAATATTAGATTATTAGAATAACGCTTTTGAGTGTGAAAGTTGAAATCATACTTACAGGGATTAGTTTGTTCCAACCGCATCATTTCCATCCAATAACAAGGTGCGTAACGTGAATAATTGACACGATCAGTTACAAAAAACCATGGAATCATAGATCGCAGAGCACTTAGATGAAGACTTCAGTTGGTAGTTCGTGTTGCTCTTATGTACAATAAAAGTAACTGCACCATTTCTATGTATTTCGACCAGAATGCAAATAAAGGATTCGTCTAGCTATAATTTATAAAACAGGGCAACTTGTTACTACCATTTGCATTAAGGTAATGTATTTGGTTTAATAGCTGCATGTCCACATGCAAGAAAGACAGGTGAAATATTGAATTATAATTTATAAAGCAAGGCAACTTGTTACTACCATTTGCCAAATTATACTTTATAAAACAGGGCAACTTGTTACTAGGTAATGTATTTGGTTTAATAGCTGCATGTCTACCAGCAAGAAATTGACAGGTGAAATATTGCATAATAATTTTTAATTTATAAAACAGGGCAACTTGTTACTACCATTTGCAATAAGGTAAAATATTTGGTTTAATAGCTGCGTGTCCACAAGCAAGAAATTGACCGGTGAAATATTGCATTATAACTTATAAAACAGGGCAACTTGTTACTACCATTTGCAATAAGGTAATGTATTTGGTTTAATAGCTGCATGTCCACAAGCAAGAAATTGACAGGTGAAATATTGCATTATAATTTATAAAACAGGGCAACTTGTTACTACCATTTGCCGAATAAGGCAATGTTTTATTTATTTTCTATTAGTGTAACTTTGTAGTTGTAGATTCAACACTCACCGATCACCGCTTTTTCGTCTCTAATGTACTCAACTTCGCTTTAAAATTTGACAAACGTATTAACGCTGCTTCCGTCCTTCGAAAACAACGCAATTTTCCGGAAGTAGAACGTACCGTTCGTCATCTTTCGTATATCCGACGATTGCCGAAGATTATCCGACGATCGCCACAACACACACACACACAGATCCGGACACTTTTTCGACTACATAGTGGTTGGCCGCGCATGCGCAGGCTACCCACAAAAATACGACATAATATATTGTGTTTACGTATCGAATTTAGTGCGGATGAATGTCGTGCTAGCTTCGCATATGTTCGATTTTGTTGTTCTGGGAGGAAGCGCGAATCCTGTGGTGAATCCTGTGGTAGCTTCACACTAGTGCTCAAATAAACAAGTCTTTCAAGGACTTAATTAAAAATTGCCAATTTGCAAGTTTAGGAAAGTATCCGATAAAGCTCCAGATAATGAAATTAAGCCCTGGTATGAACCCAGAAGTAGTTGAATAACAATATTCATGCAAGAAGACAAGCATATCTATGCAAACTCACTGCATGTCTTCAATTATTACACATAAGCTAAAGTCATTCATTCCTGAGCAATGTTCCCCTTTGATTATTGACCAGCTGTTCTTAACATATCATCCCAAACATGAAAATATTTATAAGATCACCTGGAGTATTTTTGTCCTTAAAAATTAAGTGCTGCAACACTGTGGGTCCAATTAACCATTGGCATAGGAAATTTTCCACTGAGTTTCGTGCTCACCACCTCAATCCATGTTTCTAATAAAACAAAAAAGCAAGCATATTTGAGTCTTTTGAGATATCAGAATTAAAATAACAAATGTTAAAAGAAACTAAGCAGTGCATAATATGTGTAAAATATATCATTGGCATGCTATGCACAGTTTTGCATGCTCTTACAGATATGAAATTAGGGTAGTCATCTGGTAAGCTTTCAATGATTTTTCCTTTTATCTATCACATGATAAATAGGTATATAATCAATTGGTCAATAAGTATATAATTACCGGTAGCTATATTATATATTAAAAACTAAGCCATATGCTTAGGTGAATAATCTAACAGCATTGCACAATTCCTTATAATGCATTACTTACCACAGATATTACTTTCCAATGAGACCTCTTTCATTACAGGTTTAGACTTAAACATCACCACTTGTTAATCCACCATCTAAGGATGCATGTAAAAATTTTTTAAAAGGCAATATAACAGTTATTTCATCCTAATTCTTAATCAAAACTTTTGTATATCCAGTAACCAAGATTCAGTATATCATAATCCTAAGATTGAGTACAGATGTTTCCTCTTCATTATATATTAATAACTTGAATCCATGCTAAAATTTGACCACGGTTTTAATAGCCAACGTCAATATCACATTTCATATTGCATAGTGTTTATAGTATAACCACGATAATATATTTATATCAACGTCGTTCGTTTATCGGGAATGATGAGTATTAAAACTGTGAATATATCTGTTTATTGTTTATAAATATGTTTACTGTTTACGCGGCAAATTCAAAAATAGCTTTCGTCTGTTTGCACGTATTGAGCTTATGTTGGGCCTGAAAACGTGTACTAAAATTTATGTTTCATTTCACCCCGCTGGGAACAGGAAAAATTTATCACGACTTACCTTTACTTTATGTGCTGAGTTCATTTCTGAAAAGTTCCCACTTCTACCGCCTGCAGTTTTTTTAAAAAATGCGTTTGAAGATTCTCTCATTTCAAACTCTTCTGTCAACATTTTCGATATTTTGAATAATCTTAAGTCACATTAAAATTATTTTCCATGCTTCAGAATGCTGACTCACTCGACCCCAGTTTCCCTATTTAACATTCGTAGCCTCCAGTATGGAAATTTGAAGTATGTAAATGTGAGAGGTGTTTCAATCCATGCGAGATTGATTTGCTGTTGAAAAAATTCTCATTTCATTTTTTTCCAATTTGTTCCAAAACCTATTCCGGCGGACAATCTTTAAATCTTAGTGATATAAAAGAAAAAGGTTACTTCTAGTTTTCGTCGTTCTCGCTTGAGCTGCCGTCATCGTAACAGTCATCCGAATCGCTTTCCACATCATCACCATTAGTGCTTTTGTTTCGACACTCCGTGCACGAACATAAATCGCTGCATCTTAAGGAGGCCTTGACACACGAACATCTTCTATTCTCGCATCCTTTCTTGCATTTGCAGCTTACGAACTCTAGTATTGAATCAGGGGCGGCAGGTAATATCATCCAGTTAACGTAAACGTTGCCTTCTGCGTCAAGTTTCCACCCGTGGTTGAAGAAAGATGGCAAATTCAAAATTGCTTGCGTCGATTTGCGCCAGATAAAACACTGGTAGTTTGCTCTGTTTATGTGCTGGTCGAGTGAATCCTTATTGGGTGGTAACAATTCTTCATCAAACTTTCCACTTTTAAACATTTCATAACGTACACGATTAATATCTGAGTATCCTTGATATCCATATAAATGACATACGAAATGGTAAAGCTGAGTGAAGAGGTCTTCAGATGGATTTAACTCGGTGCCTAAGTTTGAGAAGGTGTGGGAGTATTCTTCTCTCGCTTTCGCAACTTTCAACACAGACACTTTTCCTTTGCCGTAAAAGGCGCTCGTTGTGTCACAACCTTAAAAAAGAGAAAATATAAATATATTAATGATAGAGAAATACGGTCTAGTGGCAAAATAATTTACGAACCAGTGAACGCGTGAAGACCAATAAGAGAAGAGCACCACTCATGCCCAAGGGACTCTCTGACGTTACTCAGGGAAATTATCCGTCGTGCACTTCCAACGCCAGTTTCGAAGTATATGTTGGCATCAATTTCCAAGCATGCATTTAGTGCAATCACCAATACGTCTGTATCAGGACTCTTGATTATGATGTTTTTGCATGACTTGCGTGGACCAACATCCGAGTATCTGCTTCTTCGTGATCGCAGCATAGCTCATCGACTTCACAAGAAACCAATGCGTTGTTCGATTGAAAAAACTTATGGCACATTTCTTCGTGCGACAGAAATACTTCGATATCTTTGAAGAGATGAGGATCGGCCTTTGTCCATGATTGATAAATGAATTTCATCAACTGCTCTTTATTTTCGCCGCTCGACAAGAACTTTTTCCATTGGCGCGGAACTTTTTGATGTTCGCTGTAAATAGAAATTTTTTGAACACCATCGATTGCCCGTCGATTTCTTTCGAGGTTCTTGATGCTTTGGCGCGGATACCGGTCACAAACGAAGTCAGCACGCTTGCAGTGGCAGTTAACGGCAATCTTTACAACCTTTGTTAACAACTGAACCGTCAGTTCACCAAACGTATCTGGTATCGTCATCAAAGTTTGCAAGATGGCCATTGCGTCAAGAATACACGCGTTGTCGTCAATAGGAAGATCAGAAACGGAAGAGTTTTGAGCTTCTTCTTCAATTGCATGAACCAGTTTTGACTTTGATGTTTTCACAAGATCCCCTTCGCTGGTTGCAATGGAGCAAGGATATGGTCTTAAAGAATACGTGAAGACATCGTCCAACTGAAGATTTCGACTTTTTGCTATCAAGAGCAGCTTCGCAAACAACACCTTGGAGTTGTCCTTTGCTGTTCTTGCTCGTCACTTTCTTTCCCAAACATGAAAATGTCTTCAAATTAGTCTTCTTGATGGTTGAATATATGTTCGGCTTTTCTCCAATAATATTATTCTCAAAAAAACTAGTAAATGCTGTCTTTCCTTTGTCTACCATGTGCTTCATGTCATCCTCGATATCAGAAGACGCAACAACTCCACTTGCTATGTGCACCAAGCTTTCATGATCATTATCAAAAGGATTAACCATTGATTTAATAACGTCAATCACATCTCTAACTGCCTTCTCTTCACCTTCGATTCGAGATTTATCCAGGTCCTTTCTGCTCCTGTTAAAAAATACGTGATACATCAGCGAACAATTATACCCATGCAAATGTATTTTTTCTTAGAAAATTATTACTACCGATCAATTTCTGCTACGCTGGCCATAGTTTCACACTGCCTTGTTATCGCACTTCTTTCTGCCTGCCCCATCAACCAGCGGTGCACAGCGCCTTTATTCAATGTTATTCCAACTAACCCTCCTTTCAGTTTGGAGTCTCTATAAAAAGACAAGGTTGTCATAATTATCACCTCGTGCTATTGCCGGTCATGCTGCGAATTTTAACTTATTTTTGAATGACTGTTTGGGAGGATAGACAAACCTGTTTAAAGTCTGCTCGATCGTTTGATCGCATGCTACACCGGAGAACGAATATCGATCTTGCCTTTGTACGGTCCAGTTATTTGAAATGTTGTGGGCAACGTCTAATTAATAAAAAATAAAAATATTAGATTATTAGAATAACGCTTTTGAGTGTGAAAGTTGAAATCATACTTACAGGGATTAGTTTGTTCCAACCGCATCATTTCCATCCAATAACAAGGTGCGTAACGTGAATAATTGACACGATCAGTTACAAAAAACCATGGAATCATAGATCGCAGAGCACTTAGATGAAGACTTCAGTTGGTAGTTCGTGTTGCTCTTATGTACAATAAAAGTAACTGCACCATTTCTATGTATTTCGACCAGAATGCAAATAAAGGATTCGTCTAGCTATAATTTATAAAACAGGGCAACTTGTTACTACCATTTGCATTAAGGTAATGTATTTGGTTTAATAGCTGCATGTCCACATGCAAGAAAGACAGGTGAAATATTGAATTATAATTTATAAAGCAAGGCAACTTGTTACTACCATTTGCCAAATTATACTTTATAAAACAGGGCAACTTGTTACTAGGTAATGTATTTGGTTTAATAGCTGCATGTCTACCAGCAAGAAATTGACAGGTGAAATATTGCATAATAATTTTTAATTTATAAAACAGGGCAACTTGTTACTACCATTTGCAATAAGGTAAAATATTTGGTTTAATAGCTGCGTGTCCACAAGCAAGAAATTGACCGGTGAAATATTGCATTATAACTTATAAAACAGGGCAACTTGTTACTACCATTTGCAATAAGGTAATGTATTTGGTTTAATAGCTGCATGTCCACAAGCAAGAAATTGACAGGTGAAATATTGCATTATAATTTATAAAACAGGGCAACTTGTTACTACCATTTGCCGAATAAGGCAATGTTTTATTTATTTTCTATTAGTGTAACTTTGTAGTTGTAGATTCAACACTCACCGATCACCGCTTTTTCGTCTCTAATGTACTCAACTTCGCTTTAAAATTTGACAAACGTATTAACGCTGCTTCCGTCCTTCGAAAACAACGCAATTTTCCGGAAGTAGAACGTACCGTTCGTCATCTTTCGTATATCCGACGATTGCCGAAGATTATCCGACGATCGCCACAACACACACACACACACAGATCCGGACACTTTTTCGACTACATAGTGGTTGGCCGCGCATGCGCAGGCTACCCACAAAAATACGACATAATATATTGTGTTTACGTATCGAATTTAGTGCGGATGAATGTCGTGCTAGCTTCGCATATGTTCGATTTTGTTGTTCTGGGAGGAAGCGCGAATCCTGTGGTGAATCCTGTGGTAGCTTCACACTAGTGCTCAAATAAACAAGTCTTTCAAGGACTTAATTAAAAATTGCCAATTTGCAAGTTTAGGAAAGTATCCGATAAAGCTCCAGATAATGAAATTAAGCCCTGGTATGAACCCAGAAGTAGTTGAATAACAATATTCATGCAAGAAGACAAGCATATCTATGCAAACTCACTGCATGTCTTCAATTATTACACATAAGCTAAAGTCATTCATTCCTGAGCAATGTTCCCCTTTGATTATTGACCAGCTGTTCTTAACATGTCATCCCAAACATGAAAATATTTATAAGATCACCTGGAGTATTTTTGTCCTTAAAAATTAAGTGCTGCAACACTGTGGGTCCAATTAACCATTGGCATAGGAAATTTTCCACTGAGTTTCGTGCTCACCACCTCAATCCATGTTTCTAATAAAACAAAAAAGCAAGCATATTTGAGTCTTTTGAGATATCAGAATTAAAATAACAAATGTTAAAAGAAACTAAGCAGTGCATAATATGTGTAAAATATATCATTGGCATGCTATGCACAGTTTTGCATGCTCTTACAGATATGAAATTAGGGTAGTCATCTGGTAAGCTTTCAATGATTTTTCCTTTTATCTATCACATGATAAATAGGTATATAATCAATTGGTCAATAAGTATATAATTACCGGTAGCTATATTATATATTAAAAACTAAGCCATATGCTTAGGTGAATAATCTAACAGCATTGCACAATTCCTTATAATGCATTACTTACCACAGATATTACTTTCCAATGAGACCTCTTTCATTACAGGTTTAGACTTAAACATCACCACTTGTTAATCCACCATCTAAGGATGCATGTAAAAATTTTTTAAAAGGCAATATAACAGTTATTTCATCCTAATTCTTAATCAAAACTTTTGTATATCCAGTAACCAAGATTCAGTATATCATAATCCTAAGATTGAGTACAGATGTTTCCTCTTCATTATATATTAATAACTTGAATCCATGCTAAAATTTGACCACGGTTTTAATAGCCAACGTCAATATCACATTTCATATTGCATAGTGTTTATAGTATAACCACGATAATATATTTATATCAACGTCGTTCGTTTATCGGGAATGATGAGTATTAAAACTGTGAATATATCTGTTTATTGTTTATAAATATGTTTACTGTTTACGCGGCAAATTCAAAAATAGCTTTCGTCTGTTTGCACGTATAGAGCTTATGTTGGGCCTGAAAACGTGTACTAAAATTTATGTTTCATTTCACCCCGCGGGGAACAGGAAAAATTTATCACGACTTACCTTTACTTTATGTGCTGAGTTCATTTCTGAAAAGTTCCCACTTCTACCGCCTGCAGTTTTTTTAAAAAATGCGTTTGAAGATTCTCTCATTTCAAACTCTTCTGTCAACATTTTCGCCATTTTGAATAATCTTAAGTCACATTAAAATTATTTTCCATGCTTCAGAATGCTGACTCACTCGACCCCAGTTTCCCTATTTTAACATTCGTAGCCTCCAGTATGGAAATTTGAAGTATGTAAATGTGAGAGGTGTTTCAATCCATGCGAGATTGATTTGCTGTTGAAAAAATTCTCATTTCATTTTTTTCCAATTTGTTCCAAAACCTATTCCGGCGGACAATCTTTAAATCTTAGTGATATAAAAGAAAAAGGTTACTTCTAGTTTTCGTCGTTCTCGCTTGAGCTGCCGTCATCGTAACAGTCATCCGAATCGCTTTCCACATCATCACCATTAGTGCTTTTGTTTCGACACTCCGTGCACGAACATAAATCGCTGCATCTTAAGGAGGCCTTGACACACGAACATCTTCTATTCTCGCATCCTTTCTTGCATTTGCAGCTTACGAACTCTAGTATTGAATCAGGGGCGGCAGGTAATATCATCCAGTTAACGTAAACGTTGCCTTCTGCGTCAAGTTTCCACCCGTGGTTGAAGAAAGATGGCAAATTCAAAATTGCTTGCGTCGATTTGCGCCAGATAAAACACTGGTAGTTTGCTCTGTTTATGTGCTGGTCGAGTGAATCCTTATTGGGTGGTAACAATTCTTCATCAAACTTTCCACTTTTAAACATTTCATAACGTACACGATTAATATCTGAGTATCCTTGATATCCATATAAATGACATACGAAATGGTAAAGCTGAGTGAAGAGGTCTTCAGATGGATTTAACTCGGTGCCTAAGTTTGAGAAGGTGTGGGAGTATTCTTCTCTCGCTTTCGCAACTTTCAACACAGACACTTTTCCTTTGCCGTAAAAGGCGCTCGTTGTGTCACAACCTTAAAAAAGAGAAAATATAAATATATTAATGATAGAGAAATACGGTCTAGTGGCAAAATAATTTACGAACCAGTGAACGCGTGAAGACCAATAAGAGAAGAGCACCACTCATGCCCAAGGGACTCTCTGACGTTACTCAGGGAAATTATCCGTCGTGCACTTCCAACGCCAGTTTCGAAGTATATGTTGGCATCAATTTCCAAGCATGCATTTAGTGCAATCACCAATACGTCTGTATCAGGACTCTTGATTATGATGTTTTTGCATGACTTGCGTGGACCAACATCCGAGTATCTGCTTCTTCGTGATCGCAGCATAGCTCATCGACTTCACAAGAAACCAATGCGTTGTTCGATTGAAAAAACTTATGGCACATTTCTTCGTGCGACAGAAATACTTCGATATCTTTGAAGAGATGAGGATCGGCCTTTGTCCATGATTGATAAATGAATTTCATCAACTGCTCTTTATTTTCGCCGCTCGACAAGAACTTTTTCCATTGGCGCGGAACTTTTTGATGTTCGCTGTAAATAGAAATTTTTTGAACACCATCGATTGCCCGTCGATTTCTTTCGAGGTTCTTGATGCTTTGGCGCGGATACCGGTCACAAACGAAGTCAGCACGCTTGCAGTGGCAGTTAACGGCAATCTTTACAACCTTTGTTAACAACTGAACCGTCAGTTCACCAAACGTATCTGGTATCGTCATCAAAGTTTGCAAGATGGCCATTGCGTCAAGAATACACGCGTTGTCGTCAATAGGAAGATCAGAAACGGAAGAGTTTTGAGCTTCTTCTTCAATTGCATGAACCAGTTTTGACTTTGATGTTTTCACAAGATCCCCTTCGCTGGTTGCAATGGAGCAAGGATATGGTCTTAAAGAATACGTGAAGACATCGTCCAACTGAAGATTTCGACTTTTTGCTATCAAGAGCAGCTTCGCAAACAACACCTTGGAGTTGTCCTTTGCTGTTCTTGCTCGTCACTTTCTTTCCCAAACATGAAAATGTCTTCAAATTAGTCTTCTTGATGGTTGAATATATGTTCGGCTTTTCTCCAATAATATTATTCTCAAAAAAACTAGTAAATGCTGTCTTTCCTTTGTCTACCATGTGCTTCATGTCATCCTCGATATCAGAAGACGCAACAACTCCACTTGCTATGTGCACCAAGCTTTCATGATCATTATCAAAAGGATTAACCATTGATTTAATAACGTCAATCACATCTCTAACTGCCTTCTCTTCACCTTCGATTCGAGATTTATCCAGGTCCTTTCTGCTCCTGTTAAAAAATACGTGATACATCAGCGAACAATTATACCCATGCAAATGTATTTTTTCTTAGAAAATTATTACTACCGATCAATTTCTGCTACGCTGGCCATAGTTTCACACTGCCTTGTTATCGCACTTCTTTCTGCCTGCCCCCATCAACCAGCGGTGCACAGCGCCTTTATTCAATGTTATTCCAACTAACCCTCCTTTCAGTTTGGAGTCTCTATAAAAAGACAAGGTTGTCATAATTATCACCTCGTGCTATTGCCGGTCATGCTGCGAATTTTAACTTATTTTTGAATGACTGTTTGGGAGGATAGACAAACCTGTTTAAAGTCTGCTCGATCGTTTGATCGCATGCTACACCGGAGAACGAATATCGATCTTGCCTTTGTACGGTCCAGTTATTTGAAATGTTGTGGGCAACGTCTAATTAATAAAAAATAAAAATATTAGATTATTAGAATAACGCTTTTGAGTGTGAAAGTTGAAATCATACTTACAGGGATTAGTTTGTTCCAACCGCATCATTTCCATCCAATAACAAGGTGCGTAACGTGAATAATTGACACGATCAGTTACAAAAAACCATGGAATCATAGATCGCAGAGCACTTAGATGAAGACTTCAGTTGGTAGTTCGTGTTGCTCTTATGTACAATAAAAGTAACTGCACCATTTCTATGTATTTCGACCAGAATGCAAATAAAGGATTCGTCTAGCTATAATTATAAAACAGGGCAACTTGTTACTACCATTTGCATTAAGGTAATGTATTTGGTTTAATAGCTGCATGTCCACATGCAAGAAAGACAGGTGAAATATTGAATTATAATTTATAAAGCAAGGCAACTTGTTACTACCATTTGCCAAATTATACTTTATAAAACAGGGCAACTTGTTACTAGGTAATGTATTTGGTTTAATAGCTGCATGTCTACCAGCAAGAAATTGACAGGTGAAATATTGCATAATAATTTTTAATTTATAAAACAGGGAACTTGTTACTACCATTTGCAATAAGGTAAAATATTTGGTTTAATAGCTGCGTGTCCACAAGCAAGAAATTGACCGGTGAAATATTGCATTATAACTTATAAAACAGGGCAACTTGTTACTACCATTTGCAATAAGGTAATGTATTTGGTTTAATAGCTGCATGTCCACAAGCAAGAAATTGACAGGTGAAATATTGCATTATAATTTATAAAACAGGGCAACTTGTTACTACCATTTGCCGAATAAGGCAATGTTTTATTTATTTTCTATTAGTGTAACTTTGTAGTTGTAGATTCAACACTCACCGATCACCGCTTTTTCGTCTTAATGTACTCAACTTCGCTTTAAAATTTGACAAACGTATTAACGCTGCTTCCGTCCTTCGAAAACAACGCAATTTTCCGGAAGTAGAACGTACCGTTCGTCATCTTTCGTATATCCGACGATTGCCGAAGATTATCCGACGATCGCCACAAACACACACACACAGATCCGGACACTTTTTCGACTACATAGTGGTTGGCCGCGCATGCGCAGGCTACCCACAAAAATACGACATAATATATTGTGTTTACGTATCGAATTTAGTGCGGATGAATGTCGTGCTAGCTTCGCATATGTTCGATTTTGTTGTTCTGGGAGGAAGCGCGAATCCTGTGGTGAATCCTGTGGTAGCTTCACACTAGTGCTCAAATAAACAAGTCTTTCAAGGACTTAATTAAAAATTGCCAATTTGCAAGTTTAGGAAAGTATCCGATAAAGCTCCAGATAATGAAATTAAGCCCTGGTATGAACCCAGAAGTAGTTGAATAACAATATTCATGCAAGAAGACAAGCATATCTATGCAAACTCACTGCATGTCTTCAATTATTACACATAAGCTAAAGTCATTCATTCCTGAGCAATGTTCCCCTTTGATTATTGACCAGCTGTTCTTAACATGTCATCCCAAACATGAAAATATTTATAAGATCACCTGGAGTATTTTTGTCCTTAAAATTAAGTGCTGCAACACTGTGGGTCCAATTAACCATTGGCATAGGAAATTTTCCACTGAGTTTCGTGCTCACCACCTCAATCCATGTTTCTAATAAAACAAAAAAGCAAGCATATTTGAGTCTTTTGAGATATCAGAATTAAAATAACAAATGTTAAAGAAACTAAGCAGTGCATAATATGTGTAAAATATATCATTGGCATGCTATGCACAGTTTTGCATGCTCTTACAGATATGAAATTAGGGTAGTCATCTGGTAAGCTTTCAATGATTTTTCCTTTTATCTATCACATGATAAATAGGTATATAATCAATTGGTCAATAAGTATATAATTACCGGTAGCTATATTATATATTAAAAACTAAGCCATATGCTTAGGTGAATAATCTAACAGCATTGCACAATTCCTTATAATGCATTACTTACCACAGATATTACTTTCCAATGAGACCTCTTTCATTACAGGTTTAGACTTAAACATCACCACTTGTTAATCCACCATCTAAGGATGCATGTAAATTTTTTAAAAGGCAATTAACAGTTATTTCATCCTAATTCTTAATCAAAACTTTTGTATATCCAGTAACCAAGATTCAGTATATCATAATCCTAAGATTGAGTACAGATGTTTCCTGTTCATTATATATTAATAACTTGAATCCATGCTAAAATTTGACCACGGTTTTAATAGCCAACGTCAATATCACATTTCATATTGCATAGTGTTTATAGTATAACCACGATAATATATTTATATCAACGTCGTTCGTTTATCGGGAATGATGAGTATTAAAACTGTGAATATATCTGTTATTGTTTATAAATATGTTTACTGTTTACGCGGCAAATTCAAAAATAGCTTTCGTCTGTTTGCACGTATAGACCTTATGTTGGGCCTGAAAACGTGTACTAAAATTTATGTTTCATTTCACCCGCGGGAACAGGAAAAATTTATCACGACTTACCTTTACTTTATGTGCTGAGTTCATTTCTGAAAAGTTCCCACTTCTACCGCCTGCAGTTTTTTTAAAAATGCGTTTGAAGATTCTCTCATTTCAAACTCTTCTGTCAACATTTTCGCCATTTTGAATAATCTTAAGTCACATTAAAATTATTTTCCATGCTTCAGAATGCTGACTCACTCGACCCCAGTTTCCCTATTTAACATTCGTAGCCTCCAGTATGGAAATTTGAAGTATGTAAATGTGAGAGGTGTTTCAATCCATGCGAGACTGTTTTGCTGTTGAAAAAATTCTCATTTCATTTTTTTCCAATTTGTTCCAAAACCTATTCCGGCGGACAATCTTTAAATCTTAGTGATATAAAAGAAAAGGTTACTTCTAGTTTTCGTCGTTCTCGCTTGAGCTGCCGTCATCGTAACAGTCATCCGAATCGCTTTCCACATCATCACCATTAGTGCTTTTGTTTCGACACTCCGTGCACGAACATAAATCGCTGCATCTTAAGGAGGCCTTGACACACGAACATCTTCTATTCTCGCATCCTTTCTTGCATTTGCAGCTTACGAACTCTAGTATTGAATCAGGGGCGGCAGGTAATATCATCCAGTTAACGTAAACGTTGCCTTCTGCGTCAAGTTTCCACCCGTGGTTGAAGAAAGATGGCAAATTCAAAATTGCTTGCGTCGATTTGCGCCAGATAAAACTGGTAGTTTGCTCTGTTTATGTGCTGGTCGAGTGAATCCTTATTGGGTGGTAACAATTCTTCATCAAACTTTCCACTTTTAAACATTTCATAACGTACACGATTATCTGAGTATCCTTGATATCCATATAAATGACATACGAAATGGTAAAGCTGAGTGAAGAGGTCTTCAGATGGATTTAACTCGGTGCCTAAGTTGAGAAGGTGTGGGAGTATTCTTCTCTCGCTTTCGCAACTTTCAACACAGACACTTTTCCTTGCCGTAAAAGGCGCTCGTTGTGTCACAACCTTAAAAAAGAGAAAATATAAATATATTAATGATAGAGAAATACGGTCTAGTGGCAAAATAATTTACGAACCAGTGAACGCGTGAAGACCAATAAGAGAAGAGCACCACTCATGCCCAAGGGACTCTCTGACGTTACTCAGGGAAATTATCCGTCGTGCACTTCCAACGCCAGTTTCGAAGTATATGTGGCACAATTTCCAAGCATGCATTTAGTGCAATCACCAATACGTCTGTATCAGGACTCTTGATTAGATGTTTTTGCATGACTTGCGTGGACCAACATCCGAGTATCTGCTTCTTCGTGATCGCAGCAAGCTCATCGACTTCACAAGAAACCAATGCGTTGTTCGATTGAAAAACTTATGGCACATTTCTTCGTGCGACAGAAATACTTCGATATCTTTGAAGAGATGAGGATCGGCCTTTGTCCATGATTGATAAATGAATTTCATCAACTGCTCTTTATTTTCGCCGCTCGACAAGAACTTTTTCCATTGGCGCGGAACTTTTTGATGTTCGCTGTAAATAGAAATTTTTGAACACCATCGATTGCCCGTCGATTTCTTCGAGGTTCTGATGCTTTGGCGCGGATACCGGTCACAAACGAAGTCAGCACGCTGCAGTGGCAGTTAACGGCAATCTTTACAACCTTTGTTAACAACTGAACCGTCAGTTCACCAAACGTATCTGGTATCGTCATCAAAGTTTGCAAGATGGCCATTGCGTCAAGAATACACGCGTTGTCGTCAATAGGAAGATCAGAAACGGAAGAGTTTTGAGCTTCTTCTTCAATTGCATGAACCAGTTTTGACTTGATGTTTTCACAAGATCCCCTTCGCTGGTGCAATGGAGCAAGGATATGGTCTAAAGAATACGTGAAGACATCGTCCAACTGAAGATTTGACTTTTGCTATCAAGAGCAGCTTCGCAAACAACACCTTGGAGTTGTCCTTGCTGTTCTGCTCGTCACTTTTTCCCAAACATGAAAATGTCTTCAAATTGTCTTGATGGTTGAATATATGTTCGGCTTTTCTCCAATAATTATTCTCAAAAAAACTAGTAAATGCTGTCTTCCTTTGTCTACCATGTGCTTCATGTCATCCTCGATATCAGAAGACGCAACAACTCCACTGCTATGTGCACCAACTTTCATGATCATTATCAAAAGGATAACCATTGATTTATAACGTCAATCACATCTC